CTCTTCTTTTGATGAAGTTTTGATGAAGCCTGATTCTTGTTTATCATTAATCCCATTAGTATGGACTGAAAGTTTAACACTACCGCAGAGAGAGAGCCCTTTCCTGAGGGTGAATGTATCACCAGTGCAGCCTCTCATCCTCTGCAACTAGTTTGGGGCTTCTGTTTTACCCCAGTAAAGATTTCAGGATTCAACCCAGTTAATAAGCTGTAAGACTAACTCAGTGGGACTGCTCCCAGGTTTAAGGGCCTAAATGCCAACACTTTTTTCAGGCCATTGAGGATTTTTGCTGAAGAATCTCAAAGTACTTTGTTATATTAATTATGTAAGATGGAAGATCCTCAGGTGGGGTTCAATCAGTTCACTGATTTACATCAGTTGAGGCTTTGCAATCAATCTGGTAGACTTGTAGTCTAGGGGTCTATGCTCTTCACTACTCTGTTATATTAACTATGTCATTATTAATTAGATAGCTGCATAAGTCAGGTAATTATTATAATATCTGTTCCAGAGATGGCTAAAGAGAAGAAAAGAATTATGGATTTACCAAGGTCACACACCCGGGCACTGAGTGGGAGAGCTAGGTAAAGACCCCAAAAGTTATTTATCACAAGCCCTACTCTAACCACAAGACCAAATAGCCTCTTTTCAGAACTGGCTTTGATCTGTTATAACCAGAATCATATTACTGCAAGTTTTCTTAAGTGCTGCTGCAGACAGTCAGTCTAGCCACAAGGTTATCTGAAATATGTATTCAGTACATATTTTATCCTAGTTTCCTAGATGAGAATTTAGCAGTGTCCTAAATCTAAATCTGTTAATCAAGTAGCCCCACTGAAATTCAGCAAGCTACCTCTGTGCTTGTATCCTCCAGTAGTATGTTAGATGGCTGTTCCAAATTATTGATTCAATGTTTCTCGAAACTGGGAAGATCAAGGGTAGAAAAGGGAAGAGGGTGTTACTGGATGTGATGGAATACATGCAATCAAAGTGGCAAAGTGTGTGAGAGTACATTGCTGATTGGCATGTCCACAGCTAGTCCCAGAGATGCCAGCAATCCACTGGGATTCTGTATGAAAGGTGTAGAAGGAGTCAGTAATGTCCTGCAAGGGTTTGGAGCTTGTTGCATCTAGTAGGAAGATTATGGGAGTGTAAAGGACCTAGGTGCCTGCCGGAAACAGGAAGAGCTTGCTGAGTCTCAACCTTACTTCTGAAACTAAAGGTACATTTGCATGCCCATAATTAAATGCAGGAACGAAACAGTAGATATTACTACTTGTACCAGTTTGTTGTACATGCTTCACAACCCAATTTATGGATGCAGAATGATCAGTGGATGCTCCCACAGCTTTTTATGATCAGCCATAGTTTAAAAAGTCATCAAAGTATGCAGTGGCTGAAACTATGATAGGCTAGTGAGTTCTCTTTGAGTACAGGGAGAAGGTAAATCCATCCAATATGTTGTTTGCTTTTAATTATAAGCTCAGCTCAATTTAACAGACATAATGTAGGTCTCTTCTAGATTATAATCAGTTGGAGATATGATAAAATAGCAGACTATGATGGGACTATAATATTTGACTGAATATTTCCATTGCACTTGTGTAAGTAAAAAAAAAATAATTTAAAGGTGAAATTGTTTCTTTTCCATTTGATAATTTGTTATTTTTCAGTGGCTGAAGATCTATACTTACCTTTTCCATGGGGGAGCCAACCTTTTTGGCAGGTGCACCATAATTTAGCCACACACCTTCTCCAAGTGCAGCTATGATTCCCTTCCTCTGCCTGATCTGCCCTTCTGCTTTCTGCTTCTTGCCCTGTGCTCCCTGCCTAATCTGCTCTCTGCTCCTTGCTCCCCGCCCTATCTGCAGTTGTGCTACCCTGCTAACTCCCCAATCCACTACATGACATGCACACATACCACAAATTGGCTACCTCTGCCATAGAGAAAGTGTATTAATACAAAAGAAATTACAGAGCATTTTGCCATCTGGTCATTATTTATTACGTTATGTATTAAGCCGGTAGGGAAACTACTGAACTAGCGAGCTTTAATGCCTATTAAGCCCTATTGATTGATAAGAATCTATAATGCTCTGCTCTTCTTATGAGAGATTATAATTAGGACACAGTACTGCACACACTTACTTGCAGTCTTGGTGCAGAATCAGTAGTGAATAGGTTCATTGAGTTCAGTAGAGACTACTCATAATAAGCACTGCACGCACTACTACACTTTGAAGGAGCCTGCCCCAATAGGTAATACCAGGAATAACCCATTGTGAAACTTGGCCCTAGAAACTATAAGATGATGTTCAGTGTTTACCATTTTTTGTACTGATGCCAGCTATACGCATGTTCTGTAACAGTGTGACCCTGGGTTTGTTCCCAGTCTTGTTTCTTAGTTCTTGCATATAGCTTCATAATCCCTTTGTAAGCCATTTTATAGCAGCATGCTAGCAAGTAAACCCAGCCCTGTGGCTGGTGATAACGTTGCATCAGCATTTTTGGGATTGTAAGTGAAGTGGCCCAGTGCATTAGCTAAAGTTTCTGTTATCTCAGCAGTTCAAAGTGTCACAGCCACCTCTGCAAATTGCTTGCTATCCAGACACTAAAGCTCACATGTTTATCTACACAGAAAAAAATATATAATGCATATTTGATAAAGCAGCAGGGAATAAATTACCCATTTGGAGAAGGTTGGGAAAGTGTATGTCATACCTCATTCTAGATTCCCTGGTTACCCCTCATTTCTAACCCTGAGTTTATGCTTCTGTTGCATTTTTTTGCCTGGAATACTGTTATTCCAGCCTGCTCTAGCTTCATGCACAGCAGATGTCACTGAAACATCCCATCTGTGTAGCACTGATATGTGTAATCGTCACTATTCTTTGTGCTTTCAAGAAAAATCATCCAAGGTACCCAATCCCTGAATGAAAAGCATCAGTCTTGTTATGGACTGCTGCCTTTCTATGGGAGACTGACTTTAAACTAGCGCATCACACTACAGGCAGTAGGGCTTCATGTGGTGAAACTCTGCTACTATTGCAGGGCTGCAGTCAGTGATGCATGCTCTCTCCTGTGCTATTAGGGTGTTTGAGTCAGGAGATGACCCACGACCAGTCAGACCTACAGCATGCCTACAGCATCTATCTCCTGCTCTCTGCCAAGTGGGGTTCTGTGCCTGTACTTGAAATGTATGCTTTAAATGTAGTGTAGGAAGTCAAAGCACACACCAAACAACCACTTCCCTGCAGGAAACAATTCCCTGTGAATTTTTAGTCTCTTTTCTTTCCTGGCTTAGCTTACCCCCTTTTTTATTTTCTCTCTCTCCCCAAAGCAATCCCTTGCATGTTTTATCTCATGGAAGGTTCAACATCTGAACCTGAACAAATCACAAAGGCATTAGCATTCATATCACATAGGCAGTCAAAGCTTCCCTCATTTTTAAGTATTCCCATGTCCTTCAGCTTTCATTTTGCTAAGCTTGTGCTAGCTGGTCTAATGTAGTTTTTGTGATGCTGCCATACAATATATATGACAAGAATAGTCTGTGTTTACTGTAGGGTTTTGAAAGCATATTTTCTTTCCCAATAATAGCTAGTTCACAAACAGACAAACAGACTACACAAGCCTTACTGCAAAGTGTGAGCTCAGTTCTGATTGTTATACCATTGCTAGCCCACTGTGTAGAAAAGACCATTTGTCTTCAGTTTTAGAAGTGGCTCATAGAAGTAATGCTAGCCAATCTCGGTACTGTGAATCCAAAGCAACTTCAGTGATTTTGAAGGAGTAACCCCAGCATAGCTGAAAGTAGCATCTGAAATGCCAAGAGAAATGGAGTTACAGGATTACGTATTCAGGAGTCATTTGAACCAACTTCCAAGCGAAGTGGTGCTGGCTCCTACCCTGGGGGTCTTTAAGACGAGGCTAGACAATCACCTTGCTGGGGT